CAATTTTTTATTTCAAGGTTTTACATAGGTCATCCCATTGCCTTCCTGCCTGCATGATTTCTGCTGAATAATCCGAGCTTAGTCTTATTGTTTCTCCTCTGTATGTGACTTTTTGTTTTTCTCGATCTGCACTCAGGATTCTTTGTTTGTCTTTGGTTTTGGTGAGTGTGATTATGATATGCCTTGGTGATTTTCTTTTGGAGTCTATCCTATATGGGGTTCATTGAGCTTCTTGAATGGTCAGCTTTTCATCTTTCATGATATTGGGGAAGTTTTCTGTCAGCAATTCTTCAATGATCCTCTCTGTGTTTTCTGTTTTCTCCCCCTGTTCTGGAAATCCGATCACGCACAGATTTTTCCTTTTGATTGTATCCAACATAATTCTCAAGGTTTCTTCATTTTTCTTTGTTCTTTTTTCTGATTTTCCCTCAGAGTTGTATCCAAGTGTTTGTCTTCAATTTCACTGATCCTATCTTCCATCATTTCAAACCTGCTCCTCAGCCCTTCTATGACACTGTCCATTTCTGAAATCTTGTTATCTTTTGGATTTCTAATTGTTGTTTTTGTATGATTTCTAGTTGTGAATTTATTTTGGCATTTTGTTCCTGCATTGTTTTCTTGAATTCTTCCATTTTTTGTCCGTATTTTCCATGAATTTGTCTATTTTTTCCTCATTTTTGTCTGCTTTTTGCTTAAATTATTGGATAATTCTGAATATTAGAAATTTGAATTCCCTATCAGTTAGGTCTAGTGCCCTTTCTTCTACTGGAAGGTCATCTGGTGCTTTATTTTGGACACCTACTGGAACCATCCTGTCCTATTTTTGTAAATGTTTTGATATTTTCTGCTGTCTTCAGGGCATTTAGTAGTTATTTTTCTTGTTTACTGATTGTAGGTTTATTGTTTTATCTTGCTTTTTTGTTTTGTTTATGTCTGAGCTGGCGGGCTACGCGTTCTTTGTTGTTTGCTTATCTGTGGGCATGATACTTTTAATATCCTTCTCCAATGGGCAGGGTCGGTCACTCAGATATGGTACAGCAGTGCAGGTCCAGCTGAAGGGGAGTTGCTGGGATGGGTTGTTTGTGGCACATACCAGAGCTGACAGTGCAGACCGGGAATCAGTGCAGGGCAGGTTCCAGTAGGCCATGCCTGTGCTGCTTGGAAGTGTGATGTTTTACGCACGGTACAGGTAAGCAGGAAGTAGGGGGTAGATTGTGATGTGCAGAGCTAGGATGGGTATGGGAAAGATGAGAGAGAGGAGAGAGGAACAGGAGCCAAAAACATACACACAAACAAAAAAGAGTGCTAAGGGAGCTTGCTATTGGAGTGGAGAGATGAGAGACTGAGAAATGCGAAAAAACAAAAATGAAAAGAAAAAGCGTAAAAGAAAAAAATGAATAAATCGAGAAACTGGAAATGAAGAAAGATGAAAAGGAAATAAGAGATAGACGAAAACAAAATAAAGAAACAAAAAAAACAAAAGCAAAAAAATAAATAAATGCCTCCGGGGATGTCCCTGTGTGTCTGCACAGAGTAAGGGAGTAGTTTCCAAGCCGTGTGGTACTGCCTGGCTAGAAGGGGCTCCCAAACCAAGAAAATAAAAAGAAAACAAACAAACAAATCAAAACAGAACAAATCACAGCAAAGAAACAAACAAACAGAAAGCCCCAGGGTCCCACCAGCGTGGCGGCACGGGCCAGGAAGCAGTTTCACAGTCAAGTGGTGTTTTGCAGCCTTTCAGGAAGAAGAAAAGATAGTGCATGGAGCCAGGTATTTGAGAGAAAGGAGGGGGAGGTGGTGAGAGGTAAGGAAAAAATGTAAAGAAGCGGAAAAAAGCAACACCAGAAGCCAACAAAAGGCACTTGGAGCTGGCCAATGCTGGCGGGTGGAATCCAAGTGACACCAGGGTGAAGCTGGTGCTTCCTGGCCAAGAGACAGGAAGCAGAGGAGGCTAAGTGGGGATGAAGAATGGTGGGGGGTGAGAAAGCCTGTATCGCTGGTTACCAGTTGTTCTGTCTCCTGCTGGAAGCTCTGTGAAGTTGCTTTCTCATTCCCCCTGTTCACTGATCTCCAATAGGAGTCCAAGATGGCAGATCCATGCTGTGGTAGCTGATGGGGGACCTCTGTATGTATCTCTCCTTGCTCTCTGTTTTTGGTCAGTTTCTTATTCCATTCGGTGCTTGGCTGAGTTCTTTATCTCTTCATTTGATGCTTAGGGTTACAGGATTGACGTGTGAGTCTGTTTGACTTAGTTTTTCTGATCTTTGCTGCAGAAGGGTGGCCTGGTGCTTCTGACTATAGAGCCATGTTGCCTGGAAGTCCAACACACCAGATTTTCTATATGTTGAGTCTATATCTAAATGTCTATCTCTATACATCTATAGATACTATGAAAATTGCAAATTAGTTGTAATCACAGAAAAGTAATTAAACATTAAACATGAAACATATATATTCCTGTTTGACTTCTGAGCTTTTCTCTTTAGACACTTCTTCTCAAAATGTTCAGGATTTTTTTTCATACTGTAGCAGCTAAAGATTTCATCCATCTCTATTTCCCCTGGTACCATGGCTATAGTTAGTCCCCACTCTTTGGAACATCTGTGTGAGAATAATGAAGTATGCCTAGAAGAAATGTCAGTTAATGAAGAATGTTCATTTTATGAATATTTATGATATAGATTGAACACAAAGAAGTAACTAAAGGTCATGTTGGGAATGATTGGATCTCACATATAAAAAATATGTTTATCAGGGAAGCAGAGTGACTTCCCAAATTTCATGAAAATCATTTCTGTCACTTGACATTGTGGAATACCTTTAAGCAGAGAAAATCAAATTGGGACATTTTTTTCTTTTAGGGGATGAGTGTGTGGGATGGGTACAAACAGAGATTGATGGAGGAAGAGTTCAAATCTCTGAGAAGCCCTGACGTTTCCAGTGAAAATATCTCTTTAGAAGAATTCAGTTCTTAGCAGAATTTTAATCATTCATGTTACACTAGGATTAGGTTGTGTTGTCATCAGGTGATCTCCATGGAAAAGAGCTTGTTTATATCAGTGGCATCAGTAGGGTTGGTGTTACCCAGTGCGGTAACACATAGTGTTACCCACCACCTCATGCTAATTATCACAATATTCTAGCTAAAACATCAGAAAATTTGACAAAATCAGTCACTATAAAAACACCGGCAGCAATGAAAACAACAGCTCGTGCTTGTAGCATGTGCAAATGAAACCACGTTATTCGAGGCTACATTGTAATTGGGTAATAATGACAGCTCTGACTAGAGTGCATTAGAAGGTCCAAAAAGTGTATTAGCATAGAGTTTTAGCCTTGAAGGTATATTGATACATGTAAGCTGGGCTTATGAAAATTTTTTGTTGTTATAGCTAACTACAGGGGTATTTTTCTAAAAAATAATAAACTTTTGCTGGAACACTGCACAAAAATTTTATAGACAGTCATTTTGATGTCACCCCTCTAAAGTGTCACCCGATGTGGTCTGCATCTCCTCACACATACCCCTAGTGATGTCACTGGTTTGTATGTTTCTTTGTATGTTAACCTGATGGCATCGTTCAGAAAATGGCCTTTGGAAGATAGGGAAGTGTTCACCATGACATAACATATGAGTTGTATTTGATGCACAAATAAAAAGCCAAACACAAAGTGGAGTACTTTGCAGACCATCTGAGGGCTGCAAGAAATCCAGGCCAAACCATGCCATGTGGTTGGCGACTGTTTTGTTTGATAATTGTTGATGCTGCCCAAGAGACTGGTCCAAGACCTTTTGTTTCTCATGCTAATGAGTCATGCCACTCAGGTTTCATCAGACCTCCCAGGACAATTCACAATGGTCACAGAGCTAAGTTTGGAAGGATTTATCAGTGGAAGAAACATTTCTGGATCTTAGAATAGTAGTTGAATAATTCCACCCAGCTAGGAAATTTGGGTAGAGTCACTTTACATGGCTCATCTATTCTTAGCTGATGCTCTTTTAAATCATGTTTGCATATATTGCTTAACGACATTTTTTAGCCTTTAAACACACTCATTTTTCTTTTTCTAGAGTGTAATTAATATACTTGACAGCATGAGTAGGAATCGACTTGATGGCAACGGACTTTTTTTTTAACCATACATGACTGCTAGTGTTGCAAAAATGTCTTTTTCCTGTGTGAAGATCGCCCACCATTACTGTTTTCCTTCATTCACCCAAATGACAAAACAGAAGTTTGTAAAAGGCTCTGAATTCCTATTGTTCCTAACCTGTGCTATTCCTTCTCCCAGAGTTTTCCCTGACTTTCCCGTTGCTGTGTAACAGTCATTCAAAATCTAGTAAACTCCAGCCTTGAAACATTAAATGCTAATTCCTAAAAATACTTTTATTAATTTTTACTCAGGGAAAAACTCCCAGTGCTGCTCTTCTAAAGCCTCTTTCTAGAATTTCAGGTAAAAGTTGGATAATTGTCGTTCTGGTGGTTTTGTTGTATAGTGGATCCCTAAGGATTTTGTAGAACTGAAAATGAGTTTGAAGTACATGGGAGTAGTGGAATAAGCAAGAGAATACTCTGCTATTTGGAAGAAAATGATTTTCATTTCATGAGATTGAAAGTGATGTTCTTTAGTCCCCACTATTTCTCAATTGTAAAATCTTTTTATATAATTCATTATTATTTGATAATATTGTACTTCTTTGACAGTAGACTCCTAAGAGTTTATGTGGGAATCCTGCTTTTAGAAGTCACAGAAAGAAAGTAAACCCTGCTTAGTTTTCTTCTACTAAAATGTTGCTTGATCTTTACTGTACTATCTTTCATACATGCCACATAATTCAAGGCTGGCCCAGTTTCGCTCAGTGTTAGAGTGCTCACAGGGCAGTAGAATATACAGGTCTAGTTTTCCTTCTAGGATGTTTTAATGTGCAAATGAAAATACAATTGAAAATGAAATGGAATTGGACTAATCACATATAACATTTCTATTCTTGTTTACAGATAATTTTTTACTATCACATGTATGGAAATGGCATTGGGGGCCTCACCTTGATCCAGGTATCAGTCTCAAACCAAACGAAGGTTCTATTTAACCTCACTGGAGAACAAGGCAATTTCTGGCAGAGGAAAGAACTATCACTGTTTGGTGATGAAGACTTCCAACTCAAATTTGAAGGTAGAGTTGGGAAAGGTCACTGTGGTGATATTGCACTTGATGACATTGTGCTCACAAGGAGTTGTCTATCATCCCACTCCATTAAAGAAGAACAAGCAATGCCTCTTCCAGCAGGTACATTTTTGTGTTTATTTTGTGTTCTTGCAAAGTGGAAGGTAGGAATGAAGGAAGAAAACAGAAAATAAGTGACATAAGCACCTAGTAATTCATTGCTTACATAATAGAAAAATAAAATCTTTTTGAATATAATAAAGTATCTTTGAAGTCTTTCCTCTTATAAAAATTTCTTCTAAATTTTCTCTAAGCTTCTATATATTTTACCAGTACCTGAGTTCTCTGTTTAGTCAGCTTGCTCCTAGATCACTCATATAACAAAAGATGCTATTGTTTGCATTCTGATTCAGAAATCAATCCTTAACACATATGTATTCATTTTTAAAAAAGCATAAGAAAGTCAAGAATGGAGTTATTAAACTTTAAGTAGACATTATTGTATTTATGCTATTTGCTTTATTGTTTTTAGACCTGGGCATATTCCAGTTTGAATCACTGAGTTTATATTTTGGAATAGCTTAGATGATTGAATATAGCATTATACCCTTTTAACCTAAAAAACATCTTTTGGTAAGTAAAGAAGAATATTAAAATGCTGAGTTGGCAGTTGTTCAATAGTACATATAGTGACAGTGTTGTAGGAATAGCAAGCACCATTTTTATCCATATGATATATTGGAGCATGAGATGAAAATAAATACGGTATATGTTATTAAAATTACAAAACAGCAAATTTGTCAAATTATATTATGATAGATACTAATATTTAAACCGTAAGTTTATTAGTGAAAAATAAAAATGAAATTTCTTTGGTATCTAAACTGTATCTCTCCTAATTAAAGAGAGCAAAAGTCCTTTGTTAAGAATGATTTGTTTGCTTTTAACATAGTGGGTAGAATGGGGAACATCACCATTTATACTTTTTCTTTCCCATTCATTTCAAAGAGAGTATTTTAATTTGGTTAAGAGGAAATTTCTAGATAAATGTTTCCCAATTGACACTCAATTAAACAGGCTCTTTCACAGAAATCTTTGTAACACTGTATGCAATAGTACACAGAAAAACAAACAAACATTTCAAAAATGTATTGAGGGGTAAATATACTTACCTGGATTTAATACAAATGTTTTTTAAGATACTTCAGACTACTCTACTTCCTTGAGAAAAGCTCTGTCTTTCATTCTGTGTAGAATGTTTGGGTGACATCTATACTAGGCCTTGTACAGTCTAAAGTTTTTAATAGTAATTTTTATCATAATAAAAAAAATTTCTTATAGCACCCCTATAGGGTGAATAGCAAATAAGAATCTCTGCATTCAAGAATCATTTGATATGATAAGGAGAATAAGAAACTATCCCAAATAACTCTAATGTTAGGTAGCATCTAATTAAATGACAGGTGAAACATACAAAACTTTATTGGTATGCAGAGAAGATAAAGAAAACATCCATTTGAGGACGTTTCCTTTGAAACTTATTTACAGGATGTTCAGGAGTTTGTCACCACACTTGCCATTGATGCTCATGGGAGGGAAAGATTCCGTTCAGTTTCCAGGACAAAAGGGACTGAGTCTGAACACAGCTCGGATCAGATAATGAGTAGGGAGGGCACTGTGGGCAGGCCCAATGGCATGAGAGAGTGCAAGGACGATATCTTACAGACTGCTGAATGGGCCATGGAGGATTAATTAGCTGCAGGCACCTCCTATAGCTGAGTATTGTGAGACAATATTTCAAACCGAACATGGAGGTCAACTGGGGAACACCTTGAATGTTAGCGTTTTGGTTCAATTTTTTCACAAAATGAACATATATTGAGAGTATATTGAATTCTCTTAGAAAATGAATGAACAAAAAAAAAAAAAGGATGAATTAATATGAAAAGAACCAAAAAGGAGGTACAGTATTAATCCACATAAAATATTACGAGTTGATAGGAATGACTGCAGTAGAAAGATTCCAACAGAAAAAAAAAAATGAATGCCTTTATTTTTATTACTCATAGTGTTCTGAAAAAGTCAAGTTCACTCTCCTACAAACTATTTGAAGTACTTTTACCTTTTAACTCAAGAAACTAAAGTTATACACATGTCCCTTGGTAAAAGTGAAATGCTAAACTTTGTTTAAGGAGCACTGGGTGGTGTTAACAATTAAGGGCTGGACTCCTAACCAAAAGGTAGTCGGTTTGAGCCCACCCAGCAACTCTGCAGGGGAAAAGACCTAGCAACCTTCTCCCACAAAGATTACAGCCAAGGAAACCCTGTGGGGCAGTTCTACTCTGTCATATAGGGTCACTGTGAGTCGGAAATGACAAGATGGCACACAACAACAAACTTTGTTTACAGATTTGAACTGTGAAAATGATTCTGAAAAACTATGCTTCATTGTGAGTTCATTTTAAGGGAAGGATTTATTTTATTTTATTTCTTTTTTATTTTTTAGTGAGGGTACCCTAAATAAATAAAAACTACTTGCTTTGATAGTCATGAAATTTTGTGCAAGAGAATAAAGGGGCATCATGGACATCCAATAGAAATATAGTGCAGGTTGCAGATGTAAGCCACAAATGTAATTTTAAATTTTACATTCTTTCATACTATCTTTTAAATCCGGTGTATATTGTTTACTCTAAACATATCTGACTTTGGATTAGCCATATTTCAAGTGCTAAATAGCCACTGGTGGCTAATGGCTACCTTAGTGGACAGTATAGGCAATGAAGTGAATATTCTAGGGTAACTTCTGGGTCTGTCTCTTATAATGGGGTTCCATTAGGAGGGCTGAAATTTGTGAATTCTCAATCATTGCAGTTACATTATTATTTAAAAAGAAGTACAAAAATGTATCCCAAGACCAAATATTAAAGCACAGGCACTATGCCCTCCTACTAGCTATGTGATGTATGACTTATCTGAGACTCAGTTTCCTCATCAGTCAAGTGGTGAGAATATCATCTACTTCTTAAGTTCTTGGGCTCTTCAGTATTAAATGAGATAATTGCCTACATAATCGGCCAAGTCTAATGTTTGACATATGGTAGGAATTTATTCAATAAAAATTATGTCGTTTTGCATGAGCCTGCATTTTGAACATCTTGACCAATATTCTTCAGGTGGTGTAGACATTTGAAAGTAAGCCTCCATTATTTGCATTTATTAAGAACGTGTTCCTATAGCCTGTTTTGGTGAGATGATTTTCTGCAGATATCACAAGCATGTAATTATTTTATATTTCATTATAATGATTCAATCTTATCGTTTATTGAAAACCTCTCTAAATCTGCTCCATGTTTCAAGAACACCTTGCATGTGTGCACGCTTGTGTGTGTGTGTGTACATGTGCACGTGTATTTTTGAAATATTTAATGATTCTTAATTTCTCATTACTGCTAAAACACTTAATCACCTTAGACCTTTCACAGGTTGAACAAGGGTAAAGGGCATTATGTTCCACAAGCAGGGGTAACATCCATTAAACTTTTGGAAATGACTCTAGTTCATGCAGACTTTTCATCTATATTCATGAACATAGGCTAACAACTCCATCAAGTATACCTTAAAATAGAAAAGACAAGACGGGGCAAAACATATATATTTAGGAAGATGCAACTGAACTGAATCTGGAATCAGTGGTTTTAATTAGTCAAAATTGACCCAGGGTTTTATTAGCAAAAGTAATTATTAAATTATTATTGAGTCACTAGAAGTCACATTTAAGAGCTTATTTTGATGGCAATTTTGTTAATTGCTAAATGATGAAGGATAAAAATGAACGTTAATGAATTTTAATAAGAAAAGACAACCAAGACTCATCTTCTAAATGTCCATATGCAAATGAAGCCACAATCTTATTTTCTGCATTATTGGCAGATATTAATAAATTCTAAGTATAATGAGAATACAGATGAAGTCTTTTTTTTAACCCTCACAGTTACTTTCAAATAGAAATTATACAGTCCATCTATTTTGGTTTATTACACAGCAATCACTTTTGCTTAAAAAAATGTATTTAAGGGCTCTGTGGATTAGCTTTTCTTTGAGGATGCCCATTTCCCTGAAATATTTGGCAGTAATTCACTATTGGTGAAATGCTGGTATTCAAACTTATTTAGAATCCTGAGTTAGGGAAATCTGGCAGATTGTCCTTGGCTCTATAATTTAGTGGACATTTGTACACAATGTTTAATGGGTCCTAATTGCATGGGTCCTAAGTTTTAAAGACCTGAACTTGGAGCTTGACTCTGCAACTACCTGTGAGGTATCTCTACTTGTTCTCTTTTTCATCTCTAAAAGTAGGACTCTGGAAATCTGTCTCTGAGTGATTTGAAAAAAAGAATTGAGATAATAATATATAGCACATCTCGAACAATGCCTGGCATATGGTAGAAAAAACCAAACCCATTGCCATTGAGTCGATAGTCATAGTCACTTTATAGGACAGAGTAGAACTGCCCTGTAGGGTTTCCAAGGAGCAGTTGGTGAATTCAAACTGCCAACCTTTTGGTTAGCAGTTAATCTCTTAACCACTGCTCCACCAGGGCTCCTGGCATATGGTACCACTGCCATCAAGTCGATTCCGACTCATAGTGACCCCATAGGGTTTCTAAGGCTGTAAATCTCTAAGGAAGCAGACTGCCACATCTTTCTCCCAGAGCCTCTGGTGGTTTTGAACTGCCAACATTTCGGTTAGCAGTCAATCGCTTTAACCATTGAGCCACCAGGACTCCTTGGTAAGTGTTCAATAAGTGTTACTTACCTTTTTTTCTGTCCCTCGTCTTCCCTGTTGGGGAGATTAGGGATTTAAACTGTACATAAGTTAAAATGTTTTAGAAGTATATTGTGCACTTCTGTTTTTCCTTCCTCATGTTCCATTACTCAAAGAAAGAGTCCACACACCCTCTGCTGCTCCTGTTCCCTCCAAAGAAACTGTTCTCCCCAAACCTCAAAATATTTAGTTGCTAAATATGATGGTTTTATTTATTATTAATAATAAGAAATGGAGAGGGAAGAATAGTCACAATAAAGATGCAGAGGTAGAATTGGCATAGCAGCTACTAGTG